CTTTAAAAGTGGGTATGTTAATCTTAAAATTTTTTAGTTAAGATTTTTATTACTTTCTATCATTAAATTTTTTAATTTTCACATACTTCATATTTTTTATTTGTTACCTTTATATATGTAATATATCACATCATTTATTTTCAATAATGTTTGAGTTGACCCATATATTGCAATAAAATAAAAATAATATAATTATTCATATTGATATGAAATAATATATATATATATCAGTACTAATTTAAATAATAAATTAGTCTTAAAGTATATAATGTAATAATTTTATATTCAAGTTAAATCAATTTTATTAAATATAAAATAACATAAGATAAACTTGTGGTGTGTTTTCCATACATAAATTTGAAACAATTCATATTAAAAAAAAGTAAAAAAATGGGTGTAAACTTCTAACTGTTCCCACGTTTTGGCTAGAGCGCCCAAATCCGCTATATGTTTGACACGAGTTTGTCGTAATGCTGAAATTATGGCAAATACACCTTAGGGTACAAACGAAGCGAAGCAATGTGAAGTCATAGATAAAAGGAAAGGCTAGACCAGAGAAAAGAAATGAAATAACATTTGCTATGTTAAGTCAATTACTGCTGCAAAATGAACCCTATAATGGTGGTACCATATATGTATTCAGTGGTTATGAAAATGACTTAGTTAATTAATATTTTATCAAACATTGGAAAAAATTCTAAAACTTTTTAATCTAATAATTCGTATAAAAAGTACAATTTTATCAAATATATTAAATTACATTTAATCTTATGTGATTATATTAATTGTAGCCTAATAAATAATATAATTTGATACCATCATTATATAAAAGACATACAAAAAATAACATAATACGTATAAATGTGCTTTAGTTACTTAGGCAAAAATTTTGAAAAAATTATATCTGATTTAGTGTGTAGATATTTGTTTTTTTTTTCTGTTTTTTAACCGAAAGTGTTTATTCAATTAGACTTATAATATTTTAGTTACTTTAAAAAAATTGTTTAGACATTTGTTTTTTACATATTCGTCTATATATACACACATATATATACATATACAC